TTTTTTTTTGCTATATGTTTTTGGAATTTTATGGATATATATTATGACTATATGTTTAAATGTAATTTTATGTTGATTTTGGAAATCACCCATTTTGGACTTTTTGCATTAGCATTTTAGAATTTTTTGTTTTAATAGTGTTTTTTTGCTTGTTTAGGCAAAATTACCAAAGTTACTCCCAAATTAAATTTGGTATCATTTTTTTATTAGGCCATTACCAAGTGGTGGAAATTTTCTTTTAGTAAATCTATATTGAATTTGATATTTTGGGTTGATTTTGCTATTTTACTTTTTTTTTTTGTAAATTTTGGCTAAAAACTCAACTTTTCGGATAATCCAGTGATCCGATCCGAAAAATCGGATATCCGAATTTCGGATATCCGAATATTTTCGGATCGGATATGGAATGAGTTTTGCATGATCCGAAATTTTCGGATATCCGAATTTTCGGATCGGATCGGATCGGATCGATCCGATTGAACACCCCTACTTACAGGTTCGGTCTCCATTCTATGAAAAATTAGGATTTCTGAGTTTGGTCCAGGTCAAAATTCTAAGACTACATTAAAAAAGGATCATTTATGGAAAAACTCATATGAAAGAAGGATTATGAGAGTAATATTTGATAATAGAGAACTAAATAAAGAAACTCACATGTTATAAAGGGCCAATTATAGAATTTTCTCTTGTAGTTATGTAATTCAAGATACATTTCGTCTATTTGGCTGTTAAGATTGAAAATTCTGTTGTTTTGACAAATACTACATTTAATTCAATAATCTTTATTCTATTTAATTTAAATAAATCCTTCAATTTGTTAAAGTAAAAAAAATTCAATTCAAATGTCTAAATAGACAAAATGTACAATCAGTGTACAATATCACAATTCTTTAAAACTCAAAGTATATATATTTTAGTTAATGTGAAATTTAAGGGTTCTTACAAGAAAATTGATGGTACACCAGAGTATATTTTAGAAAATGTGAGACCTGAGAATTGTTATCATAAAATTAAGGTACCTGGATATAATTTTTTATTTATATTTATCACTTCAAATCATATTATCCTTTGTCAGAACTGAAAATTGGTGCAAAAGTGAAAATTTCAAACTTCTTTTTCAAGATTCTTTCCATTTATAGAGGTCTCTTCTTTTTCTGTAGATGGATTTAGTTACATTTGTACAAAGGGGATTTTAGTTCACTCCCACTTAGGCTATGTGTTATGTGGCGTGAGGAGGAGTTTCACCACCCTCCGTCACGCCCCTCTTCTATAACGCCTAATATGTGGTCTGGCATTGCCCCCCTTCCATTGACGGCCCTCATAGGCGTTTGCCCCCTCTTCCTCTTTTTTTAATTTCAACCAATTAAAATTTAACACACATTCATACCTCATCACATTCTTTCACACTCATCATAACGCATATTTTTCATCACTCTACATCATACACCTTTAGACTCTGTCATGCCTCCTCAAGCCTCCTGTCAAGCCCGCCAATCCGCCATAATACATGACCTTATCAGGTTCATTTTTCACACATGATGTACACCAAGGAGTATACCTAAATTATACACTTTTATTTGATAATCCATACAAGCACAAACTACATGTATGATAAAAAAAAGTATATTAATACTCCCTCCGAAATAGATTAGATAGTTTTTTCTCTCCTTTCGATAATTTACTTTTATTTATTTATGTATTTTTATGAAATATTTGATAAAATAAAATATTTTTGTCACCTCTCATTTTGTAGAAATTTTGACGTAGTATGTAATTTTTATTTCTTTTTTATATACCAATTTGTAAATAAAATACTACCTCCGTCCCACTGTCTTTGTCCACTTTTGACTTTTGGAACTGTTCAACTAAGCACTTTGACTCATCAAATTCTTTCAATGTGTAAGCCTAAATATAGTCATGTGTGATCTTGTTTGATTTGTCTTAACATATAGATTATTAATATATAATTTCTATAATTTTTTAATATACAAATTACAAGATAAAATGGATTAAAGAAGTGCATTGGATGGTGTGCCAAAAGGTAAGTGGACAAAGACAATGAGTCGGAGGGAGTAATTTTTAAAAACAAAAGATTTTACCTCGTAGCTTCCAATTTGTAATCAAATTAGGGACGAAGAAAGTATATTTTACGAGTGTCAACCATCACTTTAACATCACACTAGCACAAAGTGAAAGTTCACATCTATAAGGTATAATTTGAGATACAAATTTTAGTATAATAGTTTAATTGTTCTTTTTTTGTACAACTTAATTAATTATCTCACGATTGTGTTGCTTGTTTCTTACGGAGTACCCCACAAAAATGTCCCAACGGTGAAAAAATTAAGTTGGGAGAAAAGTGCTAACTAATGAAATATGCGAATCTGACTACATGCATACTCCGTATGTTTACAGTTTACCCACTTTGAAGAAATTTTCCTACTTTACACAGTGTCAAAGTTTATGGGGAGAAAGACCAAAGTAGGACTAAAACATTGAAAATATACCAAATTAGGACTTCCATGTTTTAATTCCCGAAATAGGACTTACATTACCATACATGGTCATATACATTACTAAAAAAGTATAGCAATTTGTACATGTACACTGCCACATTACAACAGGGCAAAGTCACATTACCACAGTGTAAAGTCCTATTTCGAAAAAAAACATGAAAGTCCTGTTTTGGTACGTTTCTCTATGTTTTAGTCCTATTTAGGGTGATTTCTAAAATTTATGTCCGTGTAATAACTTTCTACCTAACTACTATATCGGTACATAATAACATGATAAGAAACACTTCTTTAAATTGTGATAACACAAAACCTTTAATCTGGAATTTCTAACTCTCTTGGAGAATTCTTGACGGAAACCTACAAAATAAAAGGCGAAGAAAGTTACAGGGTGGATAGAGCATTTAACCCAATTATTTTTCTCCGTAGTCGAAAGAATATCACAATCGTTGAAAATTGTTTGATAGGGATACTTAATTAGAATATTTTAATTATTTATATTATTATTTAGTAGTTAGTTATTACTCCCTCTGTACACCATAGATCTTCCCAGACACTATTCACAGGGTCAAACTTTACTTACTTTGTTTGCTCATTTTTACTAGTCATTTCGTAAAATAATATAGTCTTGTCACCTCTAGTTTTGTAGAACTTTGCATGTAGTTTATTACTATATAAATTTTATTTTAAAATTTTATTCCTATAATCAATTAAATTGAATTGAAAATAAAGTCGGTCAAGCCTCGTAACGCGTAACGGGAAGAACTTAGGTGGACGGAGGGAGTATTATTTATCAGTATTTTATAGATTAGGGTTTTTGTATGGGCCCGAGCCCATTAGGTCATGTAGGTGTGGCGTATCATCTCTATATATTGTAATCCCGTATCATTATCATGTAATCAATCAATAATCAAGAATTATCTTAATCTCTCGTCTCTCTTTTCTTAGAGTTCGAAAACGCTCGAAGTTTTCCCTCTCTCTTTACCTCCTCTTTCTCGGAGCCCGAAGACGCTCGAAGTTCTTCCCTATCCGATACGATATTCGTATCAATTGGTGCTCTCGTTGAGAGATCATCCAAAATTAAAAAAAAGAAAGTTTCAATCGCCGTATCCAATTCCGCCGTCCCAAAACAGCACCCCAATTGCCGTCGCTCGCAAATCAGATCTGGGTTTGCCATCGCGGGAATCTGCAACGCCATTGCAACCAACTTGATTTGAGCATATCAATTCACTGATTACCAGCCGCTTGCAGCTCGAATTCCAGCCACATGAGTTGTGCTTTGTGTGGCAGTTGAAGATAACATCCCAAAAAAAAATAATAGGGAAAGCAAAGCATCACAGAGACAGGTAGGAGACATAGTGGGTCAACCTAGTGCTTCTTTCAAAGAAGAAGATCCACAAAAAAAAAAAAGGAACCGAGGTTTTGCCCAAATTTTGATTGCAAAAGTCTCTAGGTTTCGGTCCACATTTGAACAAAGTTGAAGTTCCACCCTAAATTAGCGCCGCCACTGTCACCGCCGATCGCCACTGTCGCAGCAAGCCGTCAAATTGGAGTTGACCTGTTCCGCTACTCGAAGAGAGTATAAGTCACCGCTGGGTCAACGACGCATTCACTCAACCTAAAAGTGTACTGCTCAGAATTTTGAAGCCGCAGTCCATAATTCCATATTGGTTAGTCAAAATTGTTTCTGAAAAAACAAAAACAAAGAGAAGTGAGTTGCTGATCAGGCAGACCTGCGTCCCTGCCCAAAATCACTAAACTAGTGCCGCCCAAAATCAAGTAAAATCCATATTGTGTCATATGGCGCAGAATTTTTTATTAAAAATGGAGGCCCAATGTACACGGTTAGAGACTCTGATTATGAGTACCAATGCACTGGACGCACTTATTGGTTTGCTTGAAGATGTTCTATATGGAGAAATTGATCTAGACGAAGGAGTGTGTGGAGTTTATGATCATGTGGAAGAACTTATAAAGACCCGGTCATTTCGTCATACTACTGGTCAGCCAAATTATGACTCTGATTTGCACGCGTTTGATGTAGAAATCTCTTGCTCCATACAAGATTTGGTTCGTGGTCCCCCAATTTTACCGAGTTTGATTCCTTGGGAGTTACAAAATTTTAGAACAAACATGATGAATGCCATCCGAAACCTTATCAATGCCCCGCTTTTGGCTCATATGGTCACCATACAAAACACTGAGTCTCATGAAAAGGAGTCAAAGGATGACTCAAGCGTAGAATTATATGTTGGGGATAACATGGACAGTGGGCCTGAGCTCATAAATGCTGATGACGAGGGGTCCGGGGATAACATGGATAGTGGGCCTAAACACATAAATGCAGATGACGAGGGGTCCAACGTCATGGGGAAAAATAAAGAGTTTGCCCTTTTAGAAGGTGTGGACAAGGTGGCAAATGAAGATTGTGTCCACACCGATAACTCAATTTCGTTGGACACCATCGCGTTGTTTGACATTGCTGGTATTATCAAGTCTGAACACCTGATTTCAAAGAAAATAGTTCGATGCATGTTTGGTCTTCTCTTTTATTTCTGCCACTATACTTCATCAGAGAAGCTTCTTAAAGATTGGTCAACAAATGTACGTCTTTTCTGGTTTAGCACATTCTCACATGTCCAAAAGCTTGAGTGGGAACCTCCACCTTGAGGACAAGGTGGTTTTTAAGGGTGGGAATGATACGGATAGTTAATTAGAATATTTTAATTATTTATATTATTATTTAGTAGTTAGTTATTATTATTTATCAGTATTTTATAGATTAGGGTTTTTGTATGGGCCCGAGCCCATTAGGTCATGTAGGTGTGGCGTCTCATCTCTATATATTGTAATCCCGTATCATTATCATGTAATCAATCAATAATCAAGAATTATCTTAATCTCTCGTCTCTCTTTTCTTGGAGTTCGAAAACGCTCGAAGTTTTCCCTCTCTTTACCTCCTCTTTCTCGGAGCCCGAAGACGCTTGAAGTTCTTCCCTATCCGATACGATATTCTTATCATTGTTACACTCCACTTATTAGTGCATTATTATTATAAAATCTTCCTCCACTAGAATGCATGCACACATCAGAATTCAAAATCATTGAAAATTTGTTACCGAGTACACAATATACGGAACCCATCGAACGAACTGACTGGTCCCACAATATTTGTTCAATTTAATTTTTGAAAATTAAATTCGATAAATTTTAATTATCATTTAAATAAAAATTTTATTGAATATTGATGGAACAGAAAAAATTGACGAAAATAACTCCATCAAACAAAATAATTTCGTACGATGCTTTTTAATGCCAAAATAATTACAAACTATGTCGTGTCTAACAATAATGACAATAAATCTCTAGAAAAAAACTAAATTAGAAATAAAATATGAAAATATATCAAATTAGAAGTTTGTTCAAATGAGAATGGTGCATAGTGAAAGAAATGAGAATGCATACGATCCATCACATTCAAGATTTAAGGGCTATTAATTAAAATAAAAAATTCTGAAATTTTTGAAAAAAATCACAGTGGCACTTTTATAGATAAATTGATCTTTCTGATGCACTACTACAAGTGTAAAATGTATCACGACGATCTGAAAATGTACCATTCTCATATTCTCACAATATGGATGTTATATTCTCATCACGTGAAACAACCCATACACACACACACACCTGCAACCCCCACCCCCACCCGCAGGCTCCCAACGTAACCCCACACCCACAGCCATAGCACACTAATTTGATACCATGACCCTTCGGGAACCCACATGGTATTTTGACACGGGAGCTACGCACCACATCGCCCCCGACCCAGGTACTATATATTTCTCATGTCTCTTCTCACCCCCCCTCTCCCTTAATAATGTCCTTATCTCCCCACATATTATCCATAACCTTATTTCCGTTCGCCAGTTTACGCGTGATAATAACTGCTCTATTGAATTTGATGCACATGGTTTTTCTGTGAAGGATCTTCGGACGGGAACTGTGATGCATCGGTCCAATAACTCCGGCCCACTCTACCCCTTGCTCCCTGCGCCCCCAGCTCAGGCCCACAATGCGTCCGTTGACATCCACACATGGCATCGGCGTCTTGGCCACCCCAGCCCAGCGGTTCTTCGTGGTGTCTCTAGTGTCTCCAGTCTTTTTAAATTTTTTACCAATAATAATTTATGTCATACTTGTCAATTGGAAAAACAAGTTCGTCTCCCATTTTCTCCTTCATGTCGTATTTCCTCTTTCCCCTTTTGAATTATTACATACTGATTTATGGCAATCCCCTGTCCCTAGTATTACTGGTTTCAAATATTACATGTTACTATTAGATGATTTTTCTCATTATCTTTGGGTATTTCCTTTAAAACAAAAATCTGATGTTTTTACTCATCACACTTCTTTTATTAACTATGTCAAAAATCATTTTAACACAACTATTAAAAATGTTCAATGTGACAATGTCACCGAATATCGCAACTCCCCCCCTTCATTCTGTTTTCAACTCCCTAGGGATCACTTTCCGTTTCTCATGCCCTCACACAAGCCAACAAAATGGCCGTGCCGAGCGGACCATCTGTACAAATGCTACATAAATAATGCCACGTGTCATGTTCTTAGAGCTTGACATGTGTCATACTCTTAGAGTCCGAAATGTATTTTTAATTTATATACTCCCTCTGTCTACAAATAAACTTTACGTTTACTATTCACAGGGTCAAACTTTATTCACTTTGTTGGCCTATTTTCACCACCCATTTGATAAAATAATATAATCATGTCACCTCAAGTTTTGTAGATCTTTTGATATAGTTTTTTAATATGTAATTTTTATTTTTTAATTCTACACCATTTTTCATATAAAATGATTTGAAAATAACTTCAGTCAAACATCGTAACGCGTAATGTAAAGTTTAATTTTGGACGGAGGGAGTATAAAAGATGTGGAACCTTATATTTTTTTATCAAAATATTTATTGTATCTACACTTTCTTTTAAAAGATCAAAATAATCATGCTAAAGAAGTGCAATTTTTTGGGTTGACACCATCCGTTACATCTCCGTACTAATTAGAACACCTACCATGCTTCAATCATAAAATGAATTATTACCCTCTAGCTAACCCGCCTCCTAAATTAATC